TTTATACGAGTCACTATTCGCTCAAATTGTAACACATGAGTTTAGTCTTGAAAGTAGGCTAAAAGATTGATGAGTATATTATTATTAACTTTAACTTTAACATTTTGAGTCAACAAGTTATGCTCAACGAAGCTAATGGATGACTCTGTGTTATGAAATTTGATGTGTAAAATAATAATATGTGTATCATATTCTTATTACTTATACTAACTTCAAGTAAAAAATATTTGTACTTAATTTATAAGAATATTTGTACTTAATATTCTTGAAAATGTTGTATATTTATCCTTACAAAAATTAAAAAAAAAATACTTACTCTTATAAATTTTATGTTAGCATACATGACTTAGTAACATAGATTCAGTGACATTCAAATCATGTATGTCCAAACATGATAGGACATACATGTACTGCAATGTATAATGTGTCCACAGCATAGAAGAACATAAAATTTATATGTTATTGTAAACGCAAATTAAACATAATCCCAAAGGAAAACTAGCAACTTTTTAATATATGTTTGCAGGAAACAAGATTAGGCACAAGTGACGCAAATGCCATAAGGTGTCATGGCCACGACACCAAATACCATTATTTCTTCACACCATCTTATCGTCATTTCTCTTCCCAAAACACAGCATATAAGTAGGAAAAGCAAAGCATGCGCTCGATGAATGATGGACTCCTCCAAGGCATTCTTGTTTTGCAGAAGAATACCATTCTTCAACGACAGGCCGCTCGCCGATTCACCATTTTATGACTCTGTGCTGAAGTTGGTGTTGTAGCTGACGGGCTCCTTGTTGTAGTGTACATATCGACTTCCTCGGTCACTGTCTGCGTATAAGCTGACGGCAGGTATCTGCTGGACGATGTGCCAGTCTTCGCCTCCTCTAATGCATCGTTCCAGCAGACGGACGTCGCATACAACCACCACAACTAAACTGCTGTTGGGGGGTTGCACCAGTCCCGACAACCACTCGGGGAGGCGCTCCATGGCAGCATCGCTCATTTGCAGGCGTTTCAGTACATCTACCTTCTCCACACACACGAGTGATGGGCAGCCAATTATCTCCAGCTTCCTGAGTGCCCCCAAGTTTGAGATCCTTTCCAGAGAAGGACAATCTTTGGTTTGTAGTAGTCCACTCGGGGATGGCAGGTTCTCCACGGCTTTCAGCTCGTTGGCTCCCTCAATAAACAAAGAGCTCAATTTGGTTGCATGATCCAGCAGGCCTTGTGGAAGAGATCTGAGCTTGGGGCAGTTACGAAGAATGAATGTCTCGAGATTAGGCAGCAATAGGCGTGGCCGCTCTGGTGCTGCCGTTATTTCTTCTTCCGCTTCTCCTCCTCCTCGGTGCAGAGACCATTCTTCCCAGCTTGGCATCTTTGCTATAATCAACGATTTAAGCTCAGGAAAAAAAGCAGTTGATGTTGCTGCGTCGTCCCCAAGAAATTCCGGCCCGATGCTGAGTACAGAGTTTGCACCGATAATTTTCAGATATTGCAGATGCGGCAACTCACCCAGTGGTGGAAGCTGCAAGCACGATGCAAAATTTTTCAGTGTCAGGCACGTCAAGCAAGGAAAACAAGTTACCAAAGACGATGACTGCATCCAGCTTGGATTTTTTCGGCCGAAAAACCCAACGATTATAAGATCATCCAATCCTGGTGGAGGCTTTAGATTGTCAAAGACATGTTGTATCTGATTAGTCTCCTCCTCGGAATATTGTAGTTTGGATGTGCAGGAGAGACGTAATCTCTGAAGAAGGGATTTATTCAGCAGCAGAGAAGTCCCATTAGAGGAGTACCTTTCCAGCCTATCTAGTCCGAGGTGTCTGAGCCGATCAAGAGACCTCAACTCCTCCAAATCACAAACACTCAGCATCTGATTACCAACGTTGCCTCGCTCACCGATCACAAACCCTGAGAGAAAATTCAGCTGTTTCAACTTCATAATCCCCGCCGGTAAATGTTCTAGTGGTGCCTTCAAAAGATCGAGACACCTCAAATTGCACAATCTGGTAATGCCCCGAGGCAGTGTGCACAGATGCTTGCAAGAGCGGAGGTCTAACACTTGCAGGTTGGTAAGTTGCCCGATGGATTCCGGTAGTCTGGACACGCTGGTAGAGCATAGATCTAAGTATCGCAGGTGAATTAAGTCCCCGATGGAATTTGGGATGCTTCCGGTTGCTGTTCCTCTAAGAGACAAGCAGCGGAGACACCGGAGTCTTACCAAGGATTCATTTAGGACGGTTGTCGGGCTTCTGAAGAGCATCAAGGTTCTCAGGCAGTTGTGCTTGGAAAAAACTTCAGGTATTATTGCCACATTCCCTTCCTCTGTTATCGATAGACGACGAAGCTTTTGCTTGGTAGGGAATTTTATTTCACGAGCATTTACGTTGCTACATTCATCTTCTGCCAAATATTGAGCAAGCGATCGCAGCAGATCATGCACCTTAGTAGTTTTTATATTTCCAAGCCCTGGATTTGGCTGTAGAATGCTCCTCCTTATAAACTCTATGTAGTACTCCTCGGCTGTCTCTTCCGGCAACCTGCTACCTTCTTTTTCTATGTATTCTTCTGCTACCCATAGTCTAACAAGATCCTCTCGATGAAACTCATGGTCCTCGGGGAAAAGTGCAAAGTAGAGAAAGCACTGTTTGAGATGAGACGGTAAATCCTCGTAACTTAAATACAGGGCTCCCTTGAGTTCTTTTGGAAGCTTGCTCATGGTCCAAGCACCATTGTCGAGCACCTTTTCCCACTCTCCCCGGCTTTTCTCCTTTGTCATTAGAACTCCTCCCATTGTCTTGATTGCCAGAGGAAGACCATGGCATTTCCGAACGATCCCAATTCCTATATCTCTCAGGTTTAGGATATCTTTCTTCCGTTGTAGCGATGCGCTCGTGCACAGCAGTTCCCAACCTTCGTCCTCACGCAGCAATTTGACATTATGTATATGTACGGCTCCCGTCTGGTTTGCGATCTTTCCGTCTCTGGTGGTAACCAAGATTCTTCTGATAGCCGTTGCACTGCTCAGTGGAGTACGAAGTAAGTTTACCCATACGTCCGCTCGCCAGATATCATCGAGCACCAAAAAGACGCTCTTTCCGTCAATAGCCCTTCTAAGCATCGGTTCTAGTTCTGCTCTCTCCGTTGCTTGCCCAGAATCTATCTCTGCTCCTCTTATCATCTGTTTTAACAGATCGATCTCGGAATATACTTTTGAAACGCACACCCATAATCTGATTTCATAATTGTCGATAATCCTAGAATCATTGAATATCTTCTGTGCTAGTGTTGTCTTCCCTATTCCTCCCATGCCCGTAATAGCAAAAAGGCGACACGATCGTTCATTTCCCTTGTTCAACAACCCAATGAGATTATCTGTAGCCTTATAAATGACACTTCCGGTAATGTCCGGCGGCACAAGCGGAGAAGTTTTACTGGTAATGGCACTTATTGAGGCTTGTCGATTGATAGAAGCTAGCTTACTAAAGCTCAAGTTATCATTAGAAAGATGCTGGAGTCGATCATTCAGGTCCCTAATCTTGATACCAATTTGATAACGAAAGGGAACACCAACAAAGCATGAGAGAAGAGGGAAGCAACGGCGTACCCGTTGACCCAACGACGCCGATGATGGTTCTTCCTCCGCGAGTATGCCACCCTTCGCTTTGCAGAGGTCGATAATGTCGTCAGCTTCGTACATGACATCTTTCAGCTTGCTCACCCAGCTACCGATCGCCGAGTCTTGGATCTTCTTCCTCTTCGCAACCTTCAACAGGCAAATAATTGTTTCCAGACTTTCCTTGAGTTTCTGCAACTCGTCATCCACCTCCAGCATCATCACAACCCTGTCTTGGATGAGATCGGCCAGCTTCTCGATGAAAATGTTCACAAAAGCATCTAAAACCATCGCCATTTCCCCTTAACTTAGTGGATGAGACGTATCTCTGTCGGACGACCTGGAAGCCAAACACTGTTGCTGTTTTCTTCCTTCGGAACGCCTTTTTCTTACGGGGGGGGGGGGGGGGGAATCATATATACGTTTCTCATCCGTAATAAACGACGAGTCAGCTTCCATAAAAAGAAAAAATCCATGTTTCTCACATTAGCCCAATTCAGTCTCGGAAGGATGAATGTGATTCTATATACGTCTTGATAACGTATATTTGGGACCCCAGTTACGTCACAACACACAACCTTGCCAAGTTAGCGTGAGGAGTACTTCCACGCACTAAGCCATAATCCATACCGAGGCACCCCTCGGTACGTCCCATCCCGAAAAGCTTGGGACGGCGCCGCATGATGTCGTTCCATGCATTCCGGGCGACGACGGCACGAAGGTACCCTCTCGCCACTCGAGGATCGGTCGCTACGCCAAATCCATGTACAGTCGATCCTCGCGCAATAGTATAAAAGTTCTTGACCGGCATCTGGCCAGGGGACGAAAAAATGAGGAAGAGAAGGCTACGACTAACTTAATCGACGAGGGGCCACTGTCGGGAAACCCCTGACGAGGGCCTTCTGTGCTGGAGCTCGGCCACCCCTGTTGCGCGGCCGCCCTGACCGAGAGACATCTCTCTGAAAGATGGAGTCAGCGTCCCGACCTAGAGGCACCTTCCCTTATATGACATCATCGCCCCGATCGAGAGACACCTCCCTGGAAGACGGAGTCAGCGTCCCGACCTAGAGGCGCCTTCCCTTAAACGACGTCACCACCCCAACCGAGAGAAGCCTTCCCTCAGACGGCGTCAGCATCCCGACTTTCTGAGATAGCCGGCTTCAGAACTTCTTCCAACATATCGTAAACTCTCGACGTCGACCCATGGACCAAGTCGTGCTGACTCATCGGCCATGGCGCACAAGTCCTCCAACACGTCTACAAGCCAATTCTCTTTAGATGAATCATAAAGTGAAAAACCAATATTGACCTTACTGTTAGGAACGAGTCGACACTAAGGGGGGTGAATTAGTGCAGTGGTAAAAACTACGTTGGTTCAAAAAACCTTCGTACGATAAAATCATTTCCGACGAAAACTATTTCGTAAAGATAGCTTGAAAGCTTATGTGAGCATAAGCATAGTAAAAGCACAGTAAGGAGAAGATGCAATTTGCTATAAAAGTAAATTGCTCAAAGTAAATGCAAACCGAGTTAATAGTGGTTCAGTCATCGTGACCTACATCCACTCTGCTGATTCCTCTTCTGTCGAGGCCATTGGCATCCATTATCGGTCTTCCTTCAATAGGATAAGACCAATCACCTTTTACAACTCGATTCTCCTTTTACCGGGTTTAGGAGATAACCCTTACACCTCCACTCACTCCTCTCTCAAACTATTCTAACACTTAGAACTTTGAGAGAAGATTCACACAAGATTACAGTAGCGTTTTTTTCCTTTTTACTCTCAATACTTATGTCTTAACCAAGGATGAGAGGGGTATTTATAGGCTTCAAGTTGATTCAAACTTGGAGCTTAAAAATATTTCATCCCGGGTTTCCCAAGTACGAGCGATACCAACACCTGACATCCTGATACTATGCAGTAACACTGCCCAGTCTGGGCGGTACCACTGCCTAGACCACCTGGGAGACTGGGTCTCCCAGGCTGTGTCATCGTCGGTTGAGCTTTTAGGTACTGAATGAGCTGTTTAATACGACCCAATTCAACCTATTAAGGGCACGGTTAGCCCCTAATTAAGTTAGTAGGATTACCTCTCAATTCTAACTTAATTTACACTATAACTACGATAACTAAGACATGATTACTGTAATTTATGTTCCGGTGCGTCAATCACACTTCCGGCGAGCTTCTGGCATACTTCCAGTGAACATCCGACGAACTCTCGGCAATGCTCCGATGGACTCCCGGCAAGCTCCTGAACTTTGCAACGATCTTCTTGGTGAGTTCCGACGAGCTTCTATGGCAAGCTTCTGGACTTCTCGGTTGGTTCCCGCAGAACTTCCGATGAACTCTCGAATTCCCAACGTGATCTCGATCTTGACTCCGGCACAATACCTGCTTCAAGTCTTACTGTCATCGTAGTTAATCCTGCAAACTTTTCTCAACATACAGATTAGATCAAACAAATTACAATTGACATCATCATCAAAATATGAGATTCAACACAAACATAATTATTATTAAGTGAAAAAATCCAAAAGCTTCGATGGGACATACATACACTCAGCTAGGTATAACATGTCCACGGCATAAAAGAACATACTTCAATACAATGTTATTGAATACGTAAATTAAACATAATCTCAAAGGAAAACGAGAAGATTTCAATTTGTATTTGCAGGAAAAAGATTATCTTCTTAACCGAGAAGATTTTGAAACATGGATTATTTTCTTTGTGGCTATGATACCATGTAAAAAAAGAGAGGACCACATGCAAGTGCATCCCTTTATCAAATAGTAGTAATAAGGTACTATTAACCTATGATCAAACCAAATAGAACAATAAGAAACCAAGACAGAAAAGAAAAAAAATTTATTGAACTTCTTAAAGAGAAAAACACTTAATGATGTTGAACAATTCTTTGACTTTATGCGTGAGACTTGAATTGATCTACACATATAGATGCAATTTATTTATAGATATGAAATATAAGAGTCTCTAATCATTATAACTCCATCTAATTTTATTTAAAAAAAATAAGATATCTATTTGAAATATTTCAAAATATAATTGAACTTTTTAAACTAACAATTTTTTATCCCTAAAACTCTAACTAATTTTATTTTAAAAATAAAATATTAATTTATAATCTTCCAAAATATACTTCCAACTTTTAAACATGCACCACTAATTTTCAGATATTGCAGATGCGGCAACTCACCCGGAGGTCGGAGCTGCAAGCACGATGCAAGATTTTTCAGGCACGTCAAGCAAGGAAAACAAGTTGCCAAAGACGATGAGTGCATCCGGCTTGGATTTTTTGGGCCGAAAACCCCAACGATTATAAGATCATCCAATCGTGGTGGAGACTTTAGATTCCCAAAGACATGTCGTCTCCTCCTCCGAGTATCGTCGTTCGACAGCGGATGTGCAGGAGAGACGTAATCTGTGAAGAAGGGAATTATTCAGCAGCAGAGAAGTCCCATTGGAAGAGTACCTTTCCAGCCTATCTAGTCTGAGGTGTCTGGGCCGATTAAGAGATCTCAACTCCTCCAAATCACAAACACTCATCATCTGATTACCAACGTTGCCTCGCTCACCGATCACGAACCCTGAGAGAAAATTCAGCTGTTTCAGTTTCATAATCAATCCCTGCCGGTAAATGTTCTAGCGGTGCCATAAAAAGATCGAGACACCTCAGATTGCACGATCCGGTACTGCCCTGAGGCA